ACTACAAACGATGATTGCACGAGTCATACGAATACAGGTGGGCGGAGCGCGTGCCAAAATTGGCCGCCTGCACTTTTATGCGAAACTTTATTAGAAGTCTGCTAATTCGACTTGCTAGAATGTTCTTTCGCGCTAATTGCCTGGAAAGTTCATTTGGCTTGCGGCTATTGTTCTTTGAATGAACTCTAGCTGGATAAAAAAGCTCTAGGCGACTTCTAGATCCTAATTGGGTACAAAGTAATTGGCTATTTATTTGTCTAGGTAAAATTAGCAGGTAACAAGAACGCAAATGTAGAAGGGAAGAAAAAACAAAATGCAATGAAGGAATTTTTTACAGGGTCCTATGCATGCCTGAGGATGAAACTCATATTGAAAAGACAGTTTAGGTAAGACTTGTACCGTGAAATGGCAGGGACGCAGAGGACTTTACCCTATTTCTCTGCTTCTCTCCACACGTCCCAGCTCTAGCGAAAACCTCAAATTTTCAGCTATTACCTAGTCCAACTCTATGGTCCTACAACGATGATAGTGATTGTGTCATGGGTTTCATTTTGGATCGATATGCATTCAACAGCTGGACGAGTTGCACTCGGCGTTACCACGCTACTTACCATGACAACAATGGTAAGATTACTGTAGGGTTACTGTAACCACTAGGTTATTCCCTATTTATTTCTAGCAAGCTGCCATCAATGCAAAATTACCTCCAGTAAGCTATGTGAAAGTAGTGGATGTATGGTTAGGAGGTAAGCTTCTGTTTTTCAGGTTACCCAATGCAATTTAGGCAATTTTACCATCCCAACCTTCCCATTTAGCCTGTCAAACGTTCGTATTTGGCGCGTTATTGGAATATGCGTTCGTTTCCTATAAGGACACATCAAGAAAGGAAGAGCAGGCAAAAAGTAACGCGACACGAAAGGCTCAGAAACGTCGAGCCAAATTGGATCTACCCGTGGACGCATATCAACCACCTTGTACCTGTCATTTGGTAAGTTTTTTACTTGGTTCTCCTTGGTAAATGCGTAGAATTGACTTCTTCCACCTTACGCGAAGTTTTCAACTATTTTCCAAGCAAAAAATCAACTTTACCCGGTTGGGTAAACTTTTACCCAGGTAGGGTAAGCTCTTACCCAGCTGGGTAAACTTCAGATTTCGAATTATATTACATCGTTACGTCATCCAGATTGATATTCCGAGTCTTTAAACTACTCCAATTAAGGAAAAAATACATTTTTTGACCTACTCCTTTACAGTATCGTGAGATGCGACCATCGTTACGAGACCGTATCAAGCGCTACTTCACTAAACCTGATTACCTACCGGCAAAAATCGATTTCTATGCACGATTCTACGTACCGCTCGGCTTTCTCGC